TCCCAAAATGGAGAATCTAGTTCTAACCTGTAAGGTTCTATTGTCATTAATGATTAGGGAAATAGGGAGTGACATATAATTACATATGCAGAAATATATAAAATATGAACAAAAAAATGATTACCTAACTCTTCAGTGAAAAACATTTGTTTACAGGTTAAAAACCTTTATTTTTTCTTTTTAAAACAGGTGACTAATAAACGTCCAAAAGAATATGGCTGCACAAATACCAGAATCTGATCAGATCAAACAGGTAAGGCACCCTAATTAAGGAAAGGGAGTTTGCAAACAAGGTAAAGGCACTGCTGGGGGCAGCTGTGTCACTAAAATAATTGTTTCTATTTCATTTCCAAAAGTGAAAATTAAATGACACGGAGCATGCTTATTTTTCATTTGAATGATAATCAAGGAAAAAGTATTCAACTAGAAAAGAAGACTGTGTAATTGTATTATACCCATTTAAGTTAGAGAAAGAACCTATGATTTTAGGTTTTTATAGGATATTTTGCCTAAAAATACAAAATATTGGTAATGTAAGTTTTAAAGCATCTTTGTTTTAAGAACCAAACGTTAAAGAGCCTTCTGATTTGTTTGTAGTTTAAGGAATTCCTTGGGACCTACAATAAACTTACAGAAACCTGCTTTCTGGACTGTGTTAAAGACTTCACCACAAGAGAAGTAAAACCTGAAGAGGTATGAGAGTGTCGCTCCCTAAAAATTCTCTAAGCTTGTCGTAAGGAATAAATAGGGTCACCCTGAGCATATCACTTGTTCCTACTGATCACAGAAATTTGGACTACCCTATGTTCATTGCTTGGAGGCAGCCAAGGACCCATGACATTGAGGGGTTGGTTTTTTCGGTTTTATTTTTGAAACAGGGTTTTGCTCTGTTGCCCAGGCTAGAGTACAGTGACATCAGCACAGTTTGGTGCAACCTCCAACTCCTGGGTTCCAGCAGTCCTCCTAGCATATCCTCCTGAATAGCTGGGATTAGAGGCACATGCCAATATGCCTGGCTCATTTTGCTGTTTTTTTGGAGACACACGGTCTCACCATGTTGCTCAGGCTGGTCTCAAACTCTTGGCCTCAAGTGATCCTCCCTCCTTGGCCTCCTGTGCTAGGATTATAGGCATGAGCCAATATTCCTGGCCATATTCCTGCCACATTAGCAATGTCTAATATGACAGTTGTATTTGTACTAAGGCTGACCATTTTAAAGACTCCTGGGGCTACTGACTTACTGTTCCACAACACAGATTACTTTTTGGTCAAGATGGCCTGCCTAGACAACCATGACACAGCCTTCAAGTCTGGCCCTGAGAACTCTAGCAGTCTTTGGAAAAAGCAAAGCTGGAATTTGGTGGCTTACATTGCATAGATGGACTTTGAAAACCTAACCCTATTAGAAGTCTTTTAACTTTGAATGTCCTTCATCAAAACACATATTTGCTCAAGATGATATAAATGTCTTTTTTTTTTTGAGACAGAGGTTCACTATGTTGCCCTGGGTAGAGTGCTGTGGCATCAGCCCACAGCAACCTCAAACACTTGGGCTTAAGCAATTCTCCTGCCTCAGCCTCCCAAGTAGCTGGAACTACAGGCACCCGCCACAACGCCCAGCTATTTTGTGTTGTAGTTTGGCCACGGCAAGGTTCGAACCTGCCACCCTCAGTATATGGGGCTGGCACCCTACTCACTGAGCTACAGGCGCCGCCCTCTATAAACATCTTTCAATGTAAGATACTAATAAACACATGCCAAGAACTGGACTATATCCAACAATTGATAAGTACTTGTTAAATAATTGAGTTTAGGCATGTAATATTCTTGTTAGAAAGTTGAGAATTAAGAATATTGAAAATAGGATTTCTCATTTAAAAGGAACAAACTTGCCCGTGGGTCAACATTTTAACAATAAGGGGGCTCTGCACCTGTGGCTCAAGTGGCTAAGGCGCCAGCCACGTACACCTAAGGTGGTGGTTTCGAATCCAGCCCGGGCCAACAACAATGATGGCTACAACCGAAAAAAAAAAAAATAGCCAGGTCCCAGCAACTTGGGAGGTGGAGGCAGGAGACTCGCTTGAGCCCAGGAGTTGGAGGTTGCTGTGAGCTATGCCACGGCACTCTACCCAGGGGGAAAGCTTGAGGCTCTGTCTCAAAAAAAAAAAAACAATAAGGGGATGGACTGTGGGCTTTCACATCATGTTGAAGCATATCTGCAGAAAATGTAATTCAGAAGCTTCTGGAAGGCAAGGATTTACCATTGTTTTTAGTTCCTATAACCTGGTAGGCATTCAGTATATATTAATTTCTATCAGTGGATTAAAGTATCAACAATTGAAAGCTATGGTCACTTGCTACCATTAATAATAAAACTTAATTCTCAGATATATTCAAAGAAAAGCACCCACTGGCTGTTCTTTGGAATACATGCATTTTTAAAAAGTTGTCATTTTGTGTTGCCTCTTGGATCTTCCCTTTTTATTTCTAGACCACCTGTTCAGAACATTGCTTACAGAAATATTTAAAAATGACACAAAGGATATCCATGAGATTTCAAGAATATCATATTCAGCAGAATGAAGCTCTGGCAGCCAAAGCTGGACTCCTTGGCCAGCCACGATAGATATAAAAGTCCTGATGGATGGATTTTCATGAGAGATTGCCAAGCGCTGCTGCCCTGGAGATGAGGGTTCATCTGAGGGAGTCCCCTGAGAGCAGTGGCCACCGTGTCAAACCATCTGTCATGAGTATTTGGCAAGCAGAAGCCACTGGAGAAGCCAAGTTGCTATTTACCAGGAATAATCAAAATAGGTCTTATTATTCAGTGAAAATAATAAGATGCAACATTTATTGAGGCCTTAAGATTCAGCAGTTTGGTCACTTGATTAGAAAAATAAACCATTGTTTCTTCAATTGTGACTGTTAATTTTAAAGCAAAATATGTGTTGAATCATGTATGAGATAGAAAAGAATTTATTACTAAAAGCAAAATAAATGGAAATATCACTGAGTAGTTGTTTATACTATATAGTACCATAGTACTCTGACTGGGCTGTGGGTACTTTGAGATGGTTTTCAATCGGGATCATCCTCCAGGCATTCCTGTTCATTCATGTCTGCCTCAAATTGCTGGAAAATACATAAAATAGTTACTTGCTGATCATTTCAACCCCTGATCCTCTTTTTGCCTCCCTTATGTCATAGCATTACATATACTAACCTGCTTATATTTGCATATATCTTTAGGAAGCAACCCATCCGAGACTAGCTTGAAAATGTTTAAGAATTAACTCTCATGCTTTAGTGGAGTCTGTTTTTGAGTTTTGTTCAAAACCTGAGAGTCCAAAATGAATGATTATGAGTCTGACCAACAATATATAGTTTATTCCTTGACATCACATGGGATCAGTCTAATAAAAAGTGAACCAAAGTTCAAGGAATGTCTTATGAACCAGTGAATCCTGAAGGAAATTCAGGCATTTGTAGGCAATTCTAGCTGATGCATAAGTATACCAAGAAGTTTGGTAAAATGTAAATAGACTAATACCTATTAATCAATTGGCTTATGAATGGATTTCATTTGATACCAAAGTAAACTTTAAGAGAACACTAATTAGCCTGTATGCTTAAATTTACCCAGGTGATCTCTGTTTTATATGCTAATAGTACAAATATTGTTCTGTGTTTAAGTGTTGAAATATGTATACTCAACAAAATGTACAACTGATTATAGTCAAAGGAGCATGTCAGAATAGGTTTGCTTCATCTTAAAGCAAGAAAAGCAAAAATTCAGAGACTTCATTCTTCAAGAGTGTCTCCTGAGTCAGTTCACACACATACTTTGCAATTTCTATGTAATCAAGCCCAACATGGTTAAATAATTAAATTTATGCTTACCTGGCATAGAAGGGGAATTTTGTGCAACAGCATCTCAAATACCTTGGGAGGGAGTGTGTGTTTGAAAACCTTCAGAAGTTCCTGTGGTTGCCCACATGCTAAAAGGGCATTGCTGAGGTGTTCAACCCCCATTCTGTGCTCTCCTGTAACAGATTGGTAAGTTTTGAGCAAAACTATAAAGTTCTTCAAAGGAGACATTCTACAAATTACCAAGAAAGCACCAAGCACTGTACATTAAAAAGCAAAGGTCGGGTGTAGTGGCTCATGCCTATAATCCTAGCACTCAGGGAGGCCAAGGCAGGTGTATTAAAACCAGCCTGAGCAAGAGTGAGACCCAGTCTCTACTAAAAACTAGCCCAGTGGCTCGGCGCC